TCGACATTCTGCAATGTAACAATTAACTTTGTGTTTATTAAAAACTGAAAAACTGCAGCATATATGTTTCTTTTCGATACAGAATTTAAAACACTGACCAAGTTTAATAATTTCTCGGTACAAACAGGTTAATACAGCAGCTCTTCCCTCATCAAACCAAGTTTCATTATGCTCATATTTTTTGTCATCCAGTGCACAAGACAGATCTGTAATTAACAGCAGCAATAAAACATAAAAGTTTAATCAATTTGTTACTGAAATTTGACGACAACCTCAAATAACACCAACCAGATTCTTTTATTTTCACCAAATCCAATTCTCCGCTATCCAATTCAACACAGTGAACATACTGACCATCAATATATTCATATGAATGTAAAGGAATTTCGGTATCTCCAGCAACGCATCCTAAATTTTGACTTTTTCGTATCTCAGTTTTCTTTCAATTTTGTTTTTTTTTTTTCAAAAAAAAGCAATTGGAATTTAATTTAAACAGAAGAAAAAAGTACCGGCAATTTGAGCTTCAAAATATGAATAGTGTGGCCTAAAGCACTGCATCAATACGGCTGTCATTAACGAATTCTGTTTCTTCATTATTACCTTTAACGGCTCTACCCAAGTTTCCGATTCTCCATACAATGTATCGTTATGCAAACATCCACTTACTAAAAAAAAGGTAAAAAAGTGAGTATGAGTACCTCTTGAGCATCTAGACTAGTTGTCTTCCTCTGTTCCTTATCAATACTGTAACCAAAGTTTACCCTATTTTGCAAAAATTAAATTTTAAGTATTGCTGCTTCAAAGACTGCACTGATCTTAAATTTTGCTAGACTTTACAGAAATTCAAATATCATTTTTCTTAGTATTACCATTTCTTTTCAGCTGACGCTATTTACAGCTAATTTTTTTTTCTCTCAAAACGACCAGACGTTCCAAATTTTTTATAGAAAAGTAATTAAAAAAAACACACTTCCGAAAGCAACTAATTAGCAATTACAAAAAAAATTGCATCCTTCTTTTTCTTTATAGGACAGTAATTACATGCTTTAAAAAAATTAAACTGAGGTGACAAGAAAACTGTTGAGTATCATAAAAATTTCCATGTTAGCAGTAATCAACTTCATAAATGTACAACGGTTAGTCATTAAAAACTAACACTGCTGAACGGTTTTCTTGATGACCCCACCATGGAGTTGACAAGCAAGCAGAAGAGTTCCATCCCTCATCGTTATTGCTTCACCAATTTTCATTATTTCACCATCAGGATCAATGCAAGCTTTAAATTGGATGCATATATAACCATATTGTAATCGCATCGAATATAGTTTTTTTACAGCTGTATCTATGATTTAAATTATTATTTGCTTTTGAGATTAACTTACCGGTAGCCTCGTAGCTAACAATACCGTCTTCACTTTCGGCACAGACGTACTGGAAATCTGTTTCGTTGTAAGTTGCACCAATTTTGATCATTTCTCCGTCATTTGTATTTGATGGTACACAACCTGCGGGGTAAATATGATCATAAGCTGATGATTTTTAATAACAATAATATAATCTTCATCAATTTTTCATACATATTTTTTACTTTTCTATAAATTTATTTCCCTATCAAATTAAAATGATTTATTATTATTATTATTTTTTTTTTTTTTTTTTTTTTT